AAAACTCTTGAGATGGGTGGATGCGTCAAAACTTTTGGTCTGTACTGTATATATATATGAATTACATTCCTGCTCTACATTCTACAATATTTATGGACATATATCAACATTCATGGACATTTTTCAACTCCCTGTGGACCAATACCAATAAAGTTCTCTGATGGTGGTGTAGCGGTTACGTCAAGACACTGCAATATTAATGATGCGGATTCGAGCCCACGCCGTCGCGTCTCTGTCTTTTTTATCAAAATTTCCACACTGTGGGACGAATAAAGGAATTCTTATCTTGTCTTAAACTCCTTTTGCAGATTTAAACGATTGGATCTGAGTTTACCCAATCACTGATGAGGTGACGTATGTGTTGGGCCCAGTGAGTGAGGCATTTAGCATTTAGCCTAGTTTTAGCCTTCTCCTTTGCCACTAATAGAGTCTGTGGCAAAGGAGAAAAAAAAAAAAATCTTGTATAGCCCTTAATCACAACATAAGTATCTCAAAGGTCTTTACAAAATTGTCAATTCACCAATAACAGATCAGAGAATCAAACAGTTTGAACATTGGAAATGCAATAATAACAAACACATGAGCCATTGCTCCCAAAATGTCCATACATTTCCATAAATGTCCAAGATCATCACCGTCCTTTGACCCTCCATTGGCAAGGAACAAAATAGGCAAGGCAAGGCAAGGCAAGGCAAGTTTATTTGTATAGCACAATTCATACACAAGGCAACTCAAAGTGCTGAACAAGATAGCATTAAAATCATAAATAATTACAGAACATTAAAACGAAAGATAAAAATATAAAATCCCTCAGTTGTATGCACAGCTAAACAGCACCGTTTTTAACCTGGTTTTAAACATTGTCAGAGAGGAGGCCTGTCTCACATCTTCAGGAAGATTGTTCCAGATTTTAGCAGCATGAATCTGAAAAGCAGCCTCCCCATGTTTAGTTCTGACTCTGGGCACTAACAGGAGTCCAGTCCCTGTGCTCCTCAGAGTCCGGGCTGGTTCATATGGGACTAACATGTCACTAATATATTTTGGTGCGAGGCCATGGAGAGATTTGTACACAAGCAGAGCTGTTTTAAAGTCTATTCTCTGAGCCACAGGAAGCCAGTGCAGGGACCTGAGGACCGGACTAATGTGGTCGTACTTCCTGGTTCTAGTCAGGACTCGAGCTGCTGCATTTTGAATGTACTGCAGCTGTTTTACAGCCTGTTTGGACAGACCTGTGAGCAGGCCATTGCAGTAGTCTAACCTACTGGAGACAAATGCATGGATAAGAATCTCCAAGTCTGCTTTAGACACTATGTTTTTGATCCTGGCAATGTTTTTTAGATGGTAAAAAGCTGCTGATGTTACTGATTTGATGTGGCTATTAAAATTTAAGTCTGAGTCCAGTATTACCCCTAGATTTCTGACCTTGTTAGAAGGTTTTAGGGAGAGAGACTGTAGGTGACAGATGACGCTCTCTCTTTGTTTCTGGGGACCAAAGACAATCATTTCAGTTTTGTCTGCGTTTAGCTGAAGGAAGTTGTTTTGCATCCACTCACTGATCTGTTGGATACAGTGAAGGAGTGAGTCCACTGGTCCATGTTCTCCTGCAGTCAGTGAGACATAGATCTGAGTGTCGTCTGCATAGTTATGATAGGAAACTTTGTTTCTGCGTATTAACTGACCTAACGGCAGCATGTAGAGATTGAACAGAAGAGGTCCCAGGATCGACCCCTGTGGTACTCCACAGGTCAGGGCCATATGATCTGAGACACAGTTTCCAATCTCCACAAAGTACTTCCTGTCTTCAAGGTAAGACCTAAACCAACTTAGGGCGGTGCCAGCGACGCCAACCCAGTCCTCTAGTCTCTGTAAGAGGATCTCATGGTCGACAGTATCAAAGGCAGCACTTAGATCTAACAGGATTAGGATTGAGACTTTGCCTGCGTCAGTGTTCAGCCGGATATCGTTTGTAACCTTAACGAGAGCAGTCTCAGTGCTGTGGTGGGGTCTAAAGCCGGACTGAAACATATCAAATGAGTTGTTGATTATAAGAAATCTAGTAAGCTGTAGGTAGACAACTTTCTCAAGGACTTTCCCCATAAATGGCAGATTTGAGATGGGACGATAGTTGTTAAGTACCGTAGCATCCAGACTGCTCTTTTTTAGCAGGGGCCTGATGACTGCAGTTTTCAGGGCCTTTGGGAATATTCCAGAATCAAGGGACATGTTTACTATCTGTGTGAGTGAAGGTAACAGACTGCTCAGAACAGACTTTAGAAATCTAGTGGGTAGTACATCCAGGCTGCATGTGGAGGAGCTCAAACTGGAGATTATCTCTTGGACAGTTTGATCATTTACAGGTGCAAAGTAAGTTAGCTCAAAGAGCCTTTCTGGCTGTTGGATTGTTATCTGTGGATTGGAGACAATGGCGTTTTTGATGCCTTGAACCTTGTCATTGAAAAAATGTGCAAACTCATTACATTTACGTTTGGAAGTTAGCTCTAATGGCATTTGAACAGGGGGGTTTGTTAATCTATTAACTGTTGAAAACAGAACACGCAGATTGTTGCTGCAGCCTTCAATCATTTCAGAAAAATACCTTTCTCTTGTACTACGTAGCACCTGGTTAAACTCGCACAACTTATCTTTGAAGATCTTGTAATCAACCTGGAGGTTGGACTTGCGCCACTTCCGCTCGGCCCTCCGGCACTCTCTCTCTTTTGTGCTCTGACCGAGTCTGCTTTAGCCCACGGCGCCTTCTGCTTATTTTTCACTATTTTAACCTTCACAGGAGCGATGGTGTCCAGAACTTTCAAAACACTAGAGGTGACAGAGTTAAACAGTTCATCTACAGTAGAATACGATGCATTCTCAAAGTTTATCATTCCCATAAATAGTTCACCCGTATTTTCATTTATGTGTCTTCTTCGTACAGTTGCAGAGTCCACTGGTGGTTTGTTAGTGAAACACATGTCAAAAAATATACAAAAATGATCCGAAAGCGCAACATCGACCACGTTTACATTATATATGTTCGCCCCCTTTGTAACTAACAGGTCTAGAGTGTGCCCTTTGCTGTGGGTGGGGCCACTCACATGCTGAGTGAGACCAAAAGATTCAAGAAGAGAACTCAGCTCTTTAGCATTTCTGTCATCAACATTATCCACATGAATATTAAAATCACCTGTAATAACTAAACTATCAAAATCTGTGCATACAACTGAAAGCAACTCTGTAAAATTATCAATAAAACTGTGACATGACTGCGGTGGCTTGTATAGGACAACGAAAAGTATTGGAGGAGATTGTTTTTGTTGTATTTTAAAAGACACATATTCAAAAGACGGAAACTTCCCAAGAGACATTCTATGGGAGACAAAGTGGTCTCTGAAAATGGCAGCTAAGCCTCCTCCTTTTTTGTTTTCCCGTATTTCAGATTCAAATTTGAAATTTGGTGGTGATGCTTCTATTAAAACTGCATTTTCTGTATTTTGGTCAAGCCATGTTTCAGCCATGAACATAAGATCTAGATTATAAGAACAAATAAAATTATTGATTAAAAAAGACTTGTTACAAAGAGATCTGACATTTAGCATAGCAAGTTTCAAAGTTTCAGGATCAGCGGTTGTGGTCGGCTGATTCTTACACGGAACAAGAGAAAATAAACCAAGAGAATCCTCTGGGAAGTTCATATTAGCTATAAATCCAGGACTCAGGCTGTAGAACAACTTTGGAAGTAGCTGAGAAGAAGTGAAAGACAGTACAGAGCCAAAACATACCAAGCCTAAAGATCCCTGCTTAAGACCCTCTATGACGAAAGTATATGTGGCAAACAAACAGGTTTTATAAAGTCAAGAACTGCCTCTGATTGCAGGTGGTCCCTGAGCGCATGAAGGAAACATGCTTGTAACACCCTCCAGATAATATAAAAGTTGGTTAGAACAAAAATGTATGTCATTTTCTTAATTATAATTATTATAATTATTATTATTGTTTATGATGGCATGCCTTTGTTGGTGTGGTTATATGATTAGATTTAAGGAGTTAATTAGCTAATGCAATGTTGAATTAACTCAAATCCAAGCCTTCTCTGTGTACTGGTGAAGTGAGAGTCAGGTGAATGTGGACAAATAGCTTAAGCATAAATACTTTGGCTCTACACAGCAGTTTGTGCCCTCCATGTTAAGACCCCCTTCTTCAGCAATGCAAGCCCATAAATCTGCACCCAGGGGGCATGACACACTATTAACTCTGGACCAGAGGACTACACTTAGGACCACCTTGAAAAATTGTTGGTTTAAGGTTGTCGCTGTAAACAGCAGGCCTTAGTACTTTATATGCTGTCATGTGGATTTGAACAGCCTGGGGGTGCAATTAAAACACCAGTCACTGTCCTACAAGTGCCATTAACCAGAGTGTGCATGCGGATGACCTTGAAATGTTTCCACATTTGCATGCAACTAAAATACAACACATCAGAATTATGACATTCGACATTTAATTTCCTTAATGTTTAATTTGCATAACCATTTTATGTTTGTGTTAGCTTTTATTAGACAAAAATAATCAAATGGAGTGCTTGAGTGGATGACAGAGTTTAAAGCGCAGTCAAAGTCATGTTTGAGTCTTCTGGTGTAAAATTATCAATGACTTTTTTTCTCAGAGAGAAATGCACTTTTCACAGGACTGCATTTGCTGTGAATACAAATGTTTACACAAGGAGATGGTTCAGATCCTGAAGACATCTAACAGTGATATCTCAAAGACATCTCTGGGAGGCTGAGGCAATGCACATCTAGACGATGTGCAAAATGAGATACTTTACACAGGCGCAAAGCGAAAGCCATTATTCCCAACAAGTCTCTGGCTTTGTGATTTTTTCCCCCAGTAAAGATACCCCTCTCCTTTGTTATCACATCATATTTCTCCTCCATGCATCACAAATAGTTAAATGCCAGATCCGATCACTCTGACAGCCCACTCAACCATTTATAAACCCATTCTCAGCGTCCGCTGGCCTGATAAAGCCTTGTATTTACAGCGCGCTCGCCCTCGGTCTTGTCCGACCCGGTGCTCTCCATTGAGCCTTTGTTATGTGCTGCTCCCTCCGGACAGTGGCTGGCCTCCACAACACTGGCTGGAAATGACAAAGAGGGCCATTGTGGGGGGACATGACTAGCGGCCGATCCAGAAATGTATTTTCTGTGTTTTTGTGATGTGATTTGACATGTTCGGTCAAATGCCAGACTATGGTTAAAAAAAGGGCAGTTAGCCTGATAAAATGATTTTGTGTGGCTTTTTTGTTCCTTTTATAGCAGATGAGATGTAATACCTGTGGATCATTTTTATGTTTTTTGACATTTTATCTGAAATTCGTAACAACTGTTGCCACCGATTAACCATATTTTTTTATTTTTGCCAAAATGTCTGCATGACTCTCTAAAAAATTTCACAGATCAAGGAAACAAAAGGATTTTTTGAAGATGAACCGACAGACCCACACACCAGTCTTAATTTGAACTCTGCAGTTTTAAGAGGCGCTATATAGAAACTGGAAAAGAGGAATTGGGAGTAACAGTGGTAGATACAGTACAGACTAAAGACTACTTTAATAAAAGCTTTCATACCTGTAAAATTAAATGCAAACAAAATTATGATGTAAGGCATTGTATGTGCAACATAGCTAACGCGCAAAGTTTTTGCCTGGCTTGAATATGAGGATGCTTAACTACAGTAAAGCGGAGGTTCAGACTGGAAGACGCTCCCACAGCTGCTGCGTCACAACAGCAATTAGACTGAGGTCGACTCCAGTGTGACTCCAGGGCCTGGGCCTGGGCTCAGATCTGGTTCATAGCAGTTCACAGCTTTGTTAAAACATGTTGAGCACATTTGTCTGCTATAGTTTTTTTTCAAACAAGAATAAAACTTAGTGCATTATTATTTTAGCTCTGCATTTGAAAATGTCAGCCACAGCAAAGCAGTGTGTGAAAGTGGAGTATAGAGAGTTCAAACCTCGCCAAAGGGCAGCAATAGTCTGACCACAATGTGACAGTGTATGTTAATGAGAATACTATTCTAGTCAGCCTCACTGCAGCACGTGCTCACAGAGGCCACTCACAAGGACTATAAATAATAACAACAAATCAAAGGATTTCACTGTGGTTTTTGATCAGGAGATAATGAATTTATAGGAGAAAAAAACAAACCTTCACTTTTATTGGGCAGATTGTGAGGTGAATGTGATTTTTTTCTTGACCTGATTACCAATGAGAAAGAAGTAGTTTAGTATTTTATCCACACAGGCCTTCTAGCAAATAGCCAATTATCATGTTGCAAAAAACTCTCCTGCAAAAAAACAACTATTAAACATAACAGACAAGAGGAACACACTGATTTTTATATACCGACAAAGTCATAACGATATCAGCACATTAACATACCGTTACCAACATACAGCAGCTTCTTAAATAATAATGCATTGGCTTTTTACTTTTTTGGGCCACTCAAAGCCACTTCACATAATTCTTTCACTCCGTCCACGATGGTGATAAAGTGTGTAAGTGTACTACACACTTACAGAAGTGATTGCCATCAGCCCCTCCAACACACACACACACACACACACACACACACACACACACACACACACACACACACACACACACACACACACACACACACACACACACACACACACACACACACACACACACATACTGGTTTCCATTCTTGATGGGGACCAGGTTTCAAATCATCACATGTGGGGACCACCCTTTCTAGAGGTTCTAGAGTCATTAAAAAAAATTGAGTTACTTAACAAAACATTGTAAGCATATACACATCTTAAAATGTGTCAATTGATGAAATGATATTCTGGCAGTGTACTGTGGGGACCTATAAAAAAACGAGTCAATGTCACTTAGAAGGACCAGATTTGCATATTTTTTGCATAATTCACACACTTTTATAATTTACTCATGGGGACCCTTTGTAAATCTAATAAGTACAATGTTAAGGCCAAAGAATGCACAGACTGTCTTTGTAAATGTGCCTTTATTAACCAATTTTATATTTTTTATTGCTAGGATTGTGAACAGCTTATTTCTTGATGAAAGCACATTTTGCTTCAAATGCAGAGCAAAAAAATGTCTTTCGTCATATATTCTTTGTACACCATTTTTGTTGTATGCCTTAACAGCCATATTTGTAGTGGCCTGACTTGAACTGAGTTCAACTGCAGAAGATGTTTCAGCTGAAACACATCTTAGCATCTTGAATGAAGTTGTGAAGTCCCATTCAAGATTGTTTGCAGGGATAGAATCATCAAGAATGAGTTGTAATTTTGTTTCATGACGAAGTTTGGATCACTATCACTTTCTGAATCAGACGAGGTATCTGGGACATAGTTGTCTGAACTATCCATTGTAGAATCATAAAACTCACAGTCAAGATGATTTGTGTCTTTCATCTGAATAAAACAAGAAAAAACATTTTAACAACTAAGAATTCCAAAAAAGTAAAAAAAAAAACAGTCAGAATGCAATTCATTGAAAAAAAATACTTACAAAATAAATGAATGACACATTTAACTTCACTGGATGATAACAAGTTTTATAGGTACATTTTGTACTGACTTACTATGACACTTTTTGTCCTTATCAGTTTTGGTACATAATCGACTTCCCATGTGTGCTGTGCAAGAATCTGTAAATAAAAAAAAACTAATATAAACAAACAAGACAAAAAACGACAACACTTCTCTTGAGGACCTTTTCACACCCCACTCCATTCCTTATTTATGGGGACCAATTCAACGGACTCACACACATAATTAAACTCAACAGAACTCACTCATCCACTCTTCCACTATCCATTTACTGAATATAGTTAAATGACTTACACATAAAAAATATTGTATAATTGTCTTCAAAGGTTAAAAAAGCTTTCTCAGGACTGACAAGGAATCTCTGGTATTTTGTCATGATTGATGAATAGGATCCTACTTGTTTCTGATTGGCATCGTTTCCAAATGACGTATTCATGTGGGACTGAGGCTGGTCAGAATGATCAAAAAATCTGTGGTATAAGTGTCATCTGTGGGAGACAGAAGGTATGAGGATTTACAATTGAACACTAAAATAATCACCGTCTAAAACAGTGATTACAAATTAAAATCAAAAGACCACTCAAGCAGTCCCAAATACTACCAGCAGTACACAAATCATAGTTTGACTGATGTAAAACCAACTTGTTTGTACATACACACATCTAGGGTCGGGGACACGTCTCATGAGGACCTTTTCACACCCCTCTCAATTCCTTCATGGGGACCAATTCAATGGACTTTCACACACTGATCAACTCATCAGCAGTCACTCCAGGTGTGCTATGGGGACATTGTGAGGGCTATTTCACACACTTCCATTCCTTCTTTACGGGGACCGTTTCAATGGACTTTCACACATGATTAAACTCAACAGAAGTGTTTTATGGGGACATCGTGAGGGTTCATTTGAAAGAAACATTTAAGTAAAAAGTCCTTGTCTGCAATGACCAAAAAAGGCTTAAAGTATTCTCCTTCTATTCCACTTACTGAATATAGTTTAATGAGTTACACATGAAAAATCTTATACAAATGACTTCAAATGTTAAAAAGCTTTCTCAGAATTGACAAAGAACCTCTGGAATCTTGTCATGATTGATACAAATTATCCTACCTGTTTCTGAGGGGCATCGTTTGCAAATGACGTATTCATGTGGCACTGAGGCTGGTCAGAATGATCAACAGAACCTGGAGTAGTGCAATCTGCTGTCACGTGGGTCATCTGTGTGAATCAGAAGGTATGAGGATTTACTATAAAACACTTGAATAATCACCGTCTTAAACAGAGATCACAATTTTAATTTAATAGAACCACCCAAGAAGGCCAAAGTACTACCAGAAGTCCACAAATCATATTTTGACAGATGTAAAACAAACTTATTTGCACATACACACATCTAGGGTCGGGGACATGTCTCATGAGGACCTTTTCACCCCCACCCCCCATTCCTTCATGGGGACCAATTCAATGGACTTTCACACACGGTTCAACTCATCAGCAGTCACTCAAAGTGTGTTATGGGGACATTTTGATGGCCATTTCACACACTTCCATTCCTCCTTTACGGGGACCAATTCAATGGACTTTCACACATGTTTAATAGAAGTCACTCAAAGTGTTTTATGGGGACATCGTGAGGGTTCATTTGAAAGAAACATTTAGGTAAAAAGTCCTTGTCTGCAATGACCAAAAAAGGCTTAAAGTATTCTCCTTCCACTATTCCACTTACTGAATATAGTTTAATGAGTTACACGTGACAAATCTTATACAAATGACTTCAAATGTTAAAAAGCTTTCTCAGAACTGACAAAGAACCTCTGGAATTTTGTCATGATTGATAAAAATTATCCTACCTGTTTCTGAGGGGCATCGTTTGCAAATGACGTATTCATGTGGCACTGAGGCTGGTCAGAATGATCAACAGAACCTGGAGTAGTGCAATCTGCTGTCACGTGGGTCATCTGTGTGAATCAGAAGGTATGAGGATTTACTATAAAACACTTGAATAATCACCGTCTTAAACAGAGATCACAAATTTAATTTAATAGAACCACCCAAGAAGGCCAAAGTACTACCAGAAGTACACAAATCATAGTTTGACAGATGTAAAACAAACTTATTTGCACATACACACATCTAGGGTCGGGGACATGCCTCATGAGGACCTTTTCACACCCCCGCCCCATTCCTTCATGGGGACCAATTCAATGGACTTTCACACACGGTTCAACTCATCAGCAGTCACTCAAAGTGTGTTATGGGGACATTTTGATGGCCATTTCACACACTTCCATTCCTCCTTTACGGGGACCAATTCAATGGACTTTCACACATGTTTAATAGAAGTCACTCAAAGTGTTTTATGGGGACATCGTGAGGGTTCATTTGAAAGAAACATTTAAGTAAAAAGTCCTTGTCTGCAATGACAAAAAAAGGCTTAAAGTATTCTCCTTCCACTATTCCACTTACTGAATATAGTTTAATGAGTTACACATGACAAATCTTATACAAATGACTTCAAATGTTGAAAAGCTTTCTCAGAACTGACAAAGAACCTCTGGAATTTTGTCATGATTGATACAAATTATCCTACCTGTTTCTGAGGGGCATCATTTGCAAATGACGTATTCATGTGGCACTGAGGCTGGTCAGAATGATCAACAGAACCTGGAGTAGTGCAATCTGCTGTCACGTGGGTGATCTGTGTGAATCAGAAGGTATGAGGATTTACTATAAAACACTTGAATAATCACCGTCTTAAACAGAGATCACAAATTTAATTTAATAGAACCACCCAGGAAGGCCAAATTACTACCAGAAGTACACAAATCATAGTTTGACAGATGTAAAACAAACGTATTTACACATACACACATCTAGGGTCGGGGACATGTCTCATGAGGACCTTTTCACACCCCCGCCCCATTCCTTCATGGGGACCAATTCAATGGACTTTCACACACGGTTCAACTCATCAGCAGTCACTCAAAGTGTGTTATGGGGACATTTTGATGACCATTTCACACACTTCCATTCCTCCTTTACGGGGACCAATTCAATGGACTTTCACACATGTTTAATAGAAGTCACTCAAAGTGTTTTATGGGGACATCGTGAGGGTTCATTTGAAAGAAACATTTATGTAAAAAGTCCTTGTCTGCAATGACAAAAAAAGGCTTAAAGTATTCTCCTTCCACTATTCCACTTACTGAATATAGTTTAATGAGTTACACATGACAAATCTTATACAAATGACTTCAAATGTTGAAAAGCTTTCTCAGAACTGACAAAGAACCTCTGGAATTTTGTCATGATTGATAAAAATTATCCTACCTGTTTCTGAGGGGCATCGTTTGCAAATGACGTATTCATGTGGCACTGAGGCTGGTCAGAATGATCAACAGAACCTGGAGTAGTGCAATCTGCTGTCACGTGGGTCATCTGTGTGAATCAGAAGGTATGAGGATTTACTATAAAACACTTGAATAATCACCGTCTTAAACAGAGATCACAAATTTAATTTAATAGAACCACCCAAGAAGGCCAAAGTACTACCAGAAGTACACAAATCATAGTTTGACAGATGTAAAACAAACGTATTTACACATACACACATCTAGGGTCGGGGACATGTCTCATGAGGACCTTTTCACACCCCCGCCCCATTCCTTCATGGGGACCAATTCAATGGACTTTCACACACGGTTCAACTCATCAGCAGTCACTCAAAGTGTGTTATGGGGACATTTTGATGACCATTTCACACACTTCCATTCCTCCTTTACGGGGACCAATTCAATGGTCTTTCACACATGTTTAATAGAAGTCACTCAAAGTGTTTTATGGGGACATCGTGAGGGTTAATTTGAAAGAAACATTGAAGTAAAAAGTCCTTGTCTGCAAAGACCAAAAAAGGCTTAAAGTATTCTCCTTCCACTATTCCACTTACTGAATATAGTTTAATGAGTGACACAAAACAAATCTAAGATAATTGACTTCAAATGTTATAAAACCTTTTCAGAACTGACAAAGAACCTCTGGTATTTTGTCATGATTGATAAAAATTATCCTACCTGTTTCTGAGGGGCATCGTTTGCAAATGACGTATTCATGTGGCACTGAGGCTGGTCAGAATGATCAACAGAACCTGGAGTAGTGCAATCTGCTGTCACGTGGGTCATCTGTGGGAAACAGAAGGTATGAGGATTTACAATAACACACTATAATAATCACCATCTCAAACAGAGATCACAAATTTAATTTAATATAACCACCCAAGAAGGCCAAAGTACTACCAGCAGTGCACAAATCATAGATTGACAGATGTAAAACAAACTTATTTGCACATACACACATCTATGGTCGGGGACATGCCTCATGAGGACCTTTTCACACCCCCGCCCCATTCCTTCAGGGGACCAATTCAATGGACTTTCACACACGGTTCAACTCATCAGCAGTCACTCAAAGTGTGTTATGGGGACATTTTGATGGTCATTTCACACACTTCCATTCCTCCTTTACGGGGACCAATTCAATGGACTTTCACACATGTTTAATAGAAGTCACTCAAAGTGTATTATGGGGACATCGGGAGAGTTCAATTTAAAGAAACATTTGAGTAAAAAGTTCTCGTCTGCCATGACCAAAAAAAGGTAAAAAATACTTTCCTTCGACAATTCCACTTACTGAATATAGTTTAACGAGTGACACATAACAAATCTAAGATAATTGACTTCAGATGTTATAAAAACATTTCAGAACTGACAAAGAACCTCTGGTATTTTGTCATGATTGATAAATATGATCTTACCTTAATCTGATAGGCATCGTTTCCAAATGACATATTCATGTGGCACTGAGGCTGGTCAGAATGATCAAGAAAACCTGTAGTTGAGCCATCTGCTGTCACATGGGTCATCCGTGGGAGACAGAAGGTATAAGGATTTTTAATAAAACACTAAAATAATCATGGTCTAGAACAGAGATCACAAATTTAAATTTAAAGAACCACCCAAGGGGGCCCAAGTATTACCAGCAGTACACAAATCATAGTTTGACAGATGTAAACCCAACTTGTTTGTACACACACACATCTAGAGTCTGGAACACGTCTCATGAGGACCTTTTCACACCCCTCTCAATTCCTTCATGGGGACCAATTCAATGAACTTTCACAAACAATTCCACTCATCATCAGTCACTCCTAGTGCGTTATGGGGACCTTTTTAGGACCATTTCAAACACTTCTATTCCTTCTTTACGGGGACCATTTCAACAGACTTTCACACATGATTAAACTCAACAGAAGTCACTCAATTTATTATGGGGACATTGTGATGGTTCATTTGAAAAAGGCTAAAAATATTCTACTTCCACTTATCTACTTACTGAATATAGTTAAATGAGTTAAACATAACAAATCTTATATAATTGACTTCAAATGTTAAAAAGCTTGCTCAGAACTGACAAAGAATGGTCAGAATGATCAAGAAAGCCTGTTGTAAAGCCATCTGCTGACACGTGGGTCATCTGTGGGAGACAGAAGGTATAAGACTTTACAATAGAACACTATAATAATCTATAAGTCTAAAACAGTGCTCCAATTTTTCCAACCAAGCCCCATGTTATAAAATACTGAAATGTACCACCAGGTCTGGATCACCATGAAACAAGATAAGAGAAACTTAATTGATCTCACAGTGGAGAATCAGGGTTTATAAAGGTCTAAACTAGACTTCCTGAAGTCTACCTAAAGCCTTGTCTATAGCAGAAAACTCCAAGCTCCAAGTCATAACTAAAACAATCATACAATGTAAAATCACCACCATAGGAGGCCATTTCACACACTCATTCCATTCATTCTTTATGGGGACCAATGAAACAAACTTTCAAACATAGTTCAAGTCAATAGCAGTAACTGAAAGGGCATTCTTTGTATTAGGTTAGAAATAAGCAATTATTTTAAGCGTGTGTTTGTGACATACTCTTTCTCTCCATGGGCAGTCATCTCCACCATAATCATAAGTAATTTCTTCTCCTTCTTTTTTGTCTCGTAATGCTTCTTTTCATCTTACAATTTGGGTGGATGTGGTCATCATTAACAATACGCCCAAATGTGCCATCTTGTACTGAAGCATCAATGCTGAAAAAAAAGAAATATATATATTGATATATAAAAACTTTTAAACACATATAGTACATACATTATACAGTATAGTGCTACAATCACCAAGCTTACATACTCAAAGCTTACCTATATTTATCAATTCAAATTATATAATACAGAGACAGCTTTTTCAGCTAAATTTTCAAACCCCACAGACAGAGGTTTTTCTGGGCTAATTCGTGGTGCCATTTAAATCATCAAAAACTGAAACAACAGAATGCATAATTATGATTTCACTTGAGTCATTTTTTGAAACAATTCTATTACATTTGTAATTTATTTTATCTGTAGGTTTGGTACAGCTGTTTCTACTATATTACTTCCAAATATCTTCTATATCTAATATATTTTAATACATAATTACAAATCAAACCTTTACTTTCAACATTTAGTCAGGTACTCAATTAATATATTCATCCAGTACTTCAGTAACTTTTCTTTTTCCTTTCTACTTGAAGAAATTAAATATTTCTGCTATTTGACCCACTTAATTCTTAAAATAAAACTAAACTGCAAACTACTTCTTAATAAGTAAAGCCACTATAGGTTACTGCTATTACATAGAAAGCTTTAGTTGTATCATTCAGAACCTGTATATGTACTGAGAAACCTTTAGTTGCTTCTTGAAAGTACCACACACAAGTTGATTACTATACGAGCTAGTTGCTAATGCTAACAGGTTGTATATTAAAATCACATCTAATCTTGCTTAAAAAGGGAAACCATGCAAAGTAAATCACTGAATCTGTACTTATTACACAGTTTATTCGTTTTGCATGAGCATTGAACAGATACAGTCTTTAGTATAGCTACCAGCAAAGAGTACTCAGATTCTTTAGCCTGTTTACTCTGACACTAGCTTGTTAGCAAAAATCGGTGCTAACTTCCTAGCTAGCTACTTCTAGTACATAAGAAGCTCTACTTATGTAATTTAGTCACCACTCGTTTACTGCGAAGACAACTGTTCGCCATCTGAATGTCCTTTTAGAAGGGAACATTGACCCATGTGCTGTTTGGTAGAATCTGCTGTCCAAGCTAGTTGCTAATGCTAGCTCCAACAAGTTGCCAATGCTAGCTCGAACCAGTTGCATTAGTCTGTACATTAAAACCACAGCAATTCAGGCCACAAAAGTGAATTAGCAATAACTTGGTTGCTATTAAATAACATGCATATATACAATATTTGTTCTAAAATGATTGCAAATTATGCTTACCTGTCTGTTGCATTTGAAAGCAGCTGAAAACAGTTGATTCCAAGATCATCACTCTTGGGGACCAGGATGTGGGCGGTACTTAATTATATATGCAAAGTGTGTGTGGAAACCAATGTGTCTTACCAGTCATTACCACCAGAGGTGCCAATGAGCAACCACAACACACACATTAAACATCACTTACGAGCCTTCTCTAAAACTTTGCCCAGCACCTTCTAAACAGCTCCCCCATTCATCTAAATGGTTTTCCTTATGGGGACCTGGTTTTTGGTCCTCCTAAGGAAATGGGTCCCCATGGCGTGACTGTGTTAACAGATTTCAGTCCCCACAACGTGATGATTACAAGAACACACACACACACACACACACACACACACACACACACACACACACACACACACACACACACACACACACACACACACACACACAGACAGACAGACACACATACCAGATTAATTCTGGGCAATGTGGGTGAGGTGTCTTGCCTAAGGACACAACAGCAATTTGGAACTTTATTTACAGCCGCCCCACTCTGGCACTTGGTGTTCTTGGAGGTCTCCCATCACAGTACTAACCAGGCCCTGCTTTGCTTCAGAGGTCTGACAACAAATCATTCTCATATCCTCGTATCCACTGAGAGAAGGAGTGGCTAGTTGCGAACCTATGTGAACTAATTGACCCCTTGCATGTGACGTCCCGGCCACGCCCACTCTCCATGACAGACGGCAGAAGTATAACTGGAGCCTACGGACACCTGACCAAAACAACCAGTTTCAGCGCATTACAGCCAAAACTGTGACATTTTGCAGTGCGGTTGATTATACTAACAGGCAAGGACATAAGCTTTTTATCTGATACCTGCTCGTCATGAAGACAGAAGACGACGATGGCCAGCGGCAATCAACCAAAAGGACTGGGACCCATCCAAGTACTCCCTAATGAGCAGTGAACACTTTTTACAAGATAAAGCAATCACAAGTTTGTATTTATTTTATTTCCATTAATGTGGAGGACAATGACACACGTCAAACGTGTCTCTTACTACTGTCCTGTATGTGCGCTGCAACATTGACATTTTTATCTTTTAAGTCAATTGCGTGTTTCACTATTTTCCTCTCTGTCAGTACGTATCATGTTTGGCTGTAGACAGAAAAGCCACAGAAAAGTGGACTATTGCTAATGCTACCAGCAAAATGTACATATAAATCTGCTCCAGTGTAAGGGGATGCATTGTTAACGATAATGATAAAGATCATGTAGGGTGAATTTGGGCAAAAATAGACATTTTATTTAATCGATAAAATTGACTGGGGGGAGAAGGTACGGGTCAACATCCAGTTAGGCGATCCTTAACTTCTCCAAATACCACTCTTTGTGAGCCCTGACCTGATGTCCTACTTCCACCTATAACATAATCCAACATGTGCTTGAAGCAACCACTTCGATTTAAGAGAAGAAGCTCAGTTTTTAAGAGTTGTGTCCGTTTTGCTCTCGCAGCAATGCTAGTTTCCAATACTTCCGCTGTAAGCTCATGCACAATCACATGACTGGATGACGTCGATGCATCTGGTCAATACAACTTGGGCTGTAATTTACAGTTTTTTCCTGTTGCCTGAACACATTTTGCAAAATTTCGCTCATAGTCCCAAAACTCTAAACACAAGATGATCTGACACAACACTGGGACATAAACCAGACACATCTGTCTCAAAATCAAACTCCTTTATCAAAACTCAAACTCTGCTCTCAAAAATAAACAATCATTTGTCAAAATGAAACTCTGAGGACAAAATGACACACACATGCATCATGTGAACACACTTTCAGATTGGAAGCAACACACTGCAGTACTTTATATAAAACACTACAGTACTTTATATAAAACACTAGTCTTTCATTTTCCACTGTTTTTATTCTGTTTCTCAGTTACTGTAACTTGAAGCTTAAAGTTCTTGTTCTCAACAAAGGTTTACCAACAAACAAAAATGAAAGTACTGAGAGGTTACAAAATACTAACTAAATATTGTACATCATAGTATACTTTACAGTACAGTAAAATGCAGTAAACAAAATATAAATAAAAATGTAAAACTATAGGCAATAGTGCGTGGGTGGCATTATGGATCCCGGCGTCTGTCTGGGTCTGGCCACAGGATCTCATCCACATGTTCTCCTGCTAAGCATCGGGGGAAGAAACTCCTTGTGTGTCGAATCCATCCATGGATGGACGTTACCTCAATGTCTCTGCATGCCTCTTCCATCGCCTGAAGCAGAGGCGTCCGAGCGTGGGGTTGGCGGTCATACACGCGCCATCTCCAAGCGGAAAAAAAAATCCTCTATAGGGTTCAGGAATGGTGAGTAAGGAGGCAAGTAAACAACTTGGAATTGAGCATGGTGGGCGAACCAGTTGTGGACCAGAGCAGCCCGGTGGAAACTAACATTATCCCAGACAATCACAAACCTGGGCTGCTCTGGTCTGTCCCGTTCAAGTGCATCATGAAGTGCATCTAGAAATGCTAGTATTTGCTGTGTATTGTAGGGGCCTAGGTTGGCATGATGATGTAGTAACCCTCGAAGGCTTATGGCGGCACACAATGTGATGTTTCCCCCGCGTTGCCCTGGGACATGCACAATTGCCCTTTGACCAATCATGTTACAACCCCGTCGTCTAGTTTTGTTGAGGTTGAAACCAGCTTCATCAATGTATGAATTCATGTAGTTGTACAGCTCCATCCATGTCCAAGATTCTCTGCAACAACAAAATACATAGCATGAATGGCTGGCATTACTCAAAACACAGTACTACACACACACAGAGTCACACCCCTCCCTACAACACAAACACACCAGTGCCTTTTTCCCTCTTTGCATGTATGTGGTACTGGTACAATGGCACAGCTATTACTGTAATGAATTACATAAATTGCAATACAGTAAAAGACTGCAAAACTTACTTGTACATATTCTTGTCGAAGTCTTATGACCCTGACACTGTTCCTCTCAAACGGGACCCTGTACAACTGCTTCATTGTCAGTTGGTGCTTTGCCAAGACACGTCCAATCGTGGTGAGGCTTACTTCATTGATGTTTACAGATACTTGCCCATCTGCAATAATCTTTTGTTGTAGCTGGCGGAGAGAGATTGCGTTGTTTTCTCTGACAATTTCTACAATGGCAAGTTCCTGCAGTTGAGTGAACATGTGTTGCCGACCCCCCCCAAAAGGTCTTCTAGTCATTCTGTAGAAATATGCAACCACAAATTGTTACTACGGGTTTAGTTATTTTTTACAGCACTGTATACTGTTCACAGTACTGTGGCATCTCAATGGTACAGTGCTATGTACCAAGCCAACTTGAAATACAGTACATGTGATACGGTAGAGTACTGTAAATACTGTAGATGCTGTAAATACAGTAAAGAGTTGGAGACATACCTGTTTTCCAGTCTGAAGGTCCTTATGATGGATGCAACTGTGAACCGGCTCAGGTGTGGGTGGACTCTCTGGCCAGCTTCCCTCATTGTGAGGCCATGATTGATGACATGATCAACCAATGTTGCTCTAATATCATCAGATATAATGTTTCGTACATGGCCTCTTCGACCACGTCCTCCT